GGGCGGCCGTGGTGGGGGAACAGGGGGAGCCTGCCCTGGTAAACTGGCACAGCTTTGGCTACCGGGGCTGAAGGGCGAGCTGGCGGCATTCCCCCAGCCCTGGTCGGGGGTGGCAGGAGTACGAGGTGCGGCCAGAGAAGTTGGGGGGGTTTAACCTTTCTGTCCTCTCTAAGTCAATGCAGAGCTCATTTCCTGAAAGGTGGACGTTAAATTATTAATGTGCGCCGAAAGGAATACAGCTGTGTTGCATTGTAGCGTGTAGTTTCACCTTGTCGTCTGCAGAGTACGCTTTGCTAACAGTTTTAACTGATAAACCTCGATAGCTGGCAAAGTTGCTCATTTATGGAGTACGTTATTTGTAATTTCAGATTTTTAACGCCTGTCTCCTTACAGTAAGGCTTTAATGAGAGTATTAACTTTAACTGTAGAATACGCACTGACACTCTTACCCCTGTTGATAAGGTCTTTTAAATTTGGTTGTGGGTGAACTTAAATGCTCTGCACATGCATGTTGATTGACCCAGTTATATGCCCGTTGACACTTAGTGCAAATACAAAACAATATTTTTGTCTCGTAGCATCCAGCCCCACCTCAGATCTTCTCTTCCAACTGATTTCCTAACATCCACTATGCTGGCAACACCACACCAGAAACAAAAGTTCCTAGTTATGTGGGGTCAGGTAAGCAGATATTTTTACAATACTGTGCAGTTATGCAGAGTTGTTAAAACTGGAATTTTTATTGATGGTATATAAGACAACTCTACAAAACAACACAGTATTGATAAAATAAAAACTGAGAAAACCCCACTTACCTGACCCCTATCCCTTCCCTCTCTCCTCTGTGATGAGTCAGTGTGAGTGTAGTTCCCTAACAGAAGGAATTGATCTCTGGTTGCCTGAAGCTTAGGCACACTTGTAATGGCTTTTTGTTGCCCTTGTGGGCCACTGGGGAGGTGGGAAAGAAACCGCCTTCTCACAAAGCTTTTCCTAGCATGAATAATCCAGTTAAAGCCAAGGTTATTTGTGCAAGTAAAGGTTGTATAATACAGCTGAGGGCTGGCAGCGCTGACTTGTCCTGGAGATCCTAAATTTGAATGTGCTTGACAACACCCAGCTGTAAAAATCAAATTCAATTTTGTGATATATAGGGAAGAAGGTGCTAAATAGAAACAATAATTGGTTCTGGCATTGAGGAGCTCCAAACTGTGTCTGCAGAAGTCAGAGTAATTTTGTGTTGTACTCCTTGGTTCATCTAAAACTAAACTGTGTGAATGCATACTGTAAATTATTTGGGGCAAATCTGTTCTCCAGGTTCCAAACCAGCTGGAAGAAAAAGAGTACACTGAGAGAGACAGGTGCATCATTCTGCTTACAGCGTAAATCAGCGTTGCTGTGGTTTTATGCAACTCTTTGCAAAGAGATTAAGATGTTGCAGGCCATAATAAAGGTCCAGACTTGGAAATGAACATTTAACATGTGTAAGGATATGTTCTGAAGAGCTGCTGCAGTTGGGAGAGTGCAATCTGTAACAATCTGCACAAATGTGTAGAAGACTGGGAAAGGATTCCAGAGTGAGGTTGCCCTGACATGTTAGAGGAGGAAAAAAATCCCCATGTAATCTCTCAGAAATTGTTCCTGTAGATACTCAGGTGGGGAAAAATTGACAGTCACTTACCTGCTCGGAACAGTGCATGGGATTGTACACCTCCACAAATAAACTTTTACATATGGCCTGTGAAATGTGGCACCTGAAGTTTGGCAGTGTTTGCTTAGGAAATCAGTCTCAAATGCAACGCTAACCTTGTTTCATGACATGGTTGTTATCATGATAGCAAAGTTAACTGTGACTTACTAGTGATATTTTTATTTCAGAGCACAAAGTAATCATTGTTGGTCTGGATAATGCAGGAAAAACAACCATTCTTTATCAATTGTAAGTATGAACTGCTTCTGATGTTTCATATATTTCAAGGTGTGCGTTGTATATGTTACTCTGGCTTGTCGTCTCTGCTTTCCTTTTAAGTTTTACTTTGAGAGCATCACGATGATTACTGAACAGTATAGGAGGCAGTGGATCAGAGCAAGTGTTTTAGAGTTTGGAAAGGTCTGTAGTTTGGATAAGGTTTTGTTCAGAGCTTTTGTTTATCACATTACATTGCTATTATCACTTAATCACAGCTGCCTTTGTTGTCACAGTGTAGGCTGTTTGCCGGCTCCATAAAATATGGTTATATTGAGGGTTAGCCACAAGACAGTGCTGCTAAACTGATCCATGCCACAGCATGTAAATACTCAACAAATTGTTCTGTGAGTTAGTAGCAAAGCCAGGGAAGCCTGACCTCTCCCTGCCCTGACTTGTGTCCTCTGTGCCAAGATGTACTTTGATGTCATGTGTGGTACAGGGGGAAGGAGGAGGGCTGACCACTGGCTGAAGCTAGGCCACCACAGCTCCATGGCTGGTGGCAGTCCATGCTGTCATGCAGCTTCTGGCACTGACTTGTGTTTGTCTTGCATTAACCTTGCTACTGGTTTGTGTGAAACTTGTATGAGCTTCATTATCTCTGGTCCTCAGCTGCATTTTGATAAAAGGGAACAAATTTGTCCACAGACTTGGAAGCTTCTAGGTGGGACAGGCGGCTCAAGGTCTATTTATATTAGAAACAGATTTGTGATTTCTCACATGAAGTAGTCTGGTATTAAAAAGTGATTCTGAGTCAGTATCAGAAATAATTCCTTTTCAGTGTTATGGACATACTGGTCCAATCCTACACTTAAAAATATACTCACTTAGAATGTTTGAGTTTTGACAAATTATGATCTGCTTTTGGTTTGCTGGAACATGAAGCTCATGCGGCATTTCCAGCCATGTATGCCCTAGCACACTCTGCAGAGAAAGTGAAAAGATGAAGGTGGTTGTAGTTATTTAAATCATGAGTGAGAGATTTTAAAAAGCATGCATAGAATGAAGAATATTTTTTGAGACTAGTAACTGCTGCAGTTGAGGGCCATCCTTGATGCATTTTAATACTGCCTGTGTCTTTCCACTTCCTCCACAAATGTCTTATGAGTCTTCTCATCTACTTATTTCTGCAGTCTCAGTGTTTTATTTTCCCTTTTGTACAGTGGATCTCTACATGCCTTCTTTTCCATGCCTGTTTTAGCTCCACAGGACTTCCCCTTCTCTCTTCTTGTATTCCTCTTCCTGTTTGCTGCTTTGACAGAGCTCTGTATGAGTACTGTCCTCTGTCCTGCTGCTTGGCTCCTCCTGAAACCCTACCTCCATCTTTGCGTATCCCATTTTTTCTCTTACCCTTTCTCCATGGTTCTGAGCATGAATGAATATGTTTAACACTTTTAGTGAGAGGTGGACCAAGATAACTAGCAGGATAACTAGTGTAGGTTAGTGCACTGGCCATTCCTTGGATGTCATGGAGGGTCACAGCAGATGTTGGAGCGGTGATTCTTCTAACAGATTACGGCAGCTTCACAGACACTTCATTTCTTCCCATTCTTGTACTTAGATTTCCTCCTTTCCCTCAGGTAGCAGGAGGATTTTGTGATCAGGTGTCTAGAGACGCCACTAAGCTTCAAGTTCACTTTGTTTCAGTGGAGAGAGGGGGAAAAATCCACCTATCATATTGCACACTGCAAGATGCCAACAAGTTGAATGAGAAGGGCTGAAGGTTCAGTCAATGACGCATCTCTTCCAAGCATTAAAAGAACTCTGCCAAAACCTGGGTGGTTTTTGTTTGGTTTTTTTTTTGGGGGGGGGTGTTGTTGTTTTTGTTGTTTGTTTGTTTGTTTGTTTGTTTTAACATGATCCAGGGTACAGTTATCATCTTGTACCATTGTTATCCTTAATTTGATTTTATGGTTTGTTCTTTTAATCCTTCTCTTTCTTTTGTATAGTAGCCTTCAAATGTTTGTGGTAAGAAAGTTTCTTGTTATTCTTAGCAAGGTTACCCTTGCTAAGGCACTAGGTAACTGGGATTCTTTTTCAGAACACTGGACCATCCCTTTCTCTCCTTGGTTCTCTGTTTTCTCTTCAAGAAGTATTCCATCACCATTACAAGTCTTAAATTGCTGTCACTGTAATGAAAAGCTCTGCTAAAGCTTCAAAAAAATGGTCATATAAAATGGAAAAATGTATCTAGGTTATCAGAGGAACAAATAATGAAGTTCTTTGAAAATAGTTGGTATTTTCCTTGAAGCTACTTTTATTTTTTTGCATTTAAATAATTTGAACTTTAGGAGTGTCCCGAGTACACATTTATTACTACTACTGATATGAAACTGGTGGTCTTAATGACGAAGTTGCATTCAGTATCTCTAAAACAATATATTCGAAATACTTAATGCCTGCATTTGTCTCCAGAAAGTGGTGTTATTGGACTGCACTGAAGGGAGAAGAGAATGAAGTTTGGACATAAAGCAGCTGAATTGTGAAGGAAGTATGCTCTTAGTGGCTTACCCTGGAAGGAGAGCAAGATGTAGTGTGTTTGGTGGAGCTGGATGATGAGTTGTTTTTCTGCAATCTTGGAAATCTTGTGGCTTAACCACATTCTTGAAACAAAACAACTACTGTTTCCCATGCGTGCCAAAATCAGCCTGGAAAAGAGAAACTGACTGCTTAAAACAGATTCTGAAGCAAATATTCTCTCAGCTTTGTGATTTAATTAATTATAATATTAATTTTGTTTGTGAATGCTCTCTCAGCTCTGTAATTTGATTATTATATAGTTCACTGAGTTGTTTTTTATTGCTAATTTACATTTGCCTTTCACCGTTACGCTTTGTCTTGTTTGCTGCATAAGAAGTATTCTCTGTAACTTTCCCAGTAAGTTTTCTACCTTGAAATAACCATCAAGTCTATTTTTTATAGAAACAGGTTGATTTGGAGTCCTGAGTTACTTGATAATGGGGTAACTTCCCAGCTCTCATGGTTTCTTATGGACTCGCACTCTTCCCTCTGCAGCTCCATGAATGAAGTGGTGCATACCTCACCCACTATAGGGAGTAACGTGGAAGAGATAGTGGTTAACAACACACGCTTTCTGATGTGGGATATTGGAGGGCAGGAGTCTCTTCGGTCTTCATGGAACACCTACTATACAAACACTGAGGTGAGAATGAACACCTTGCTGGAAGACTTACTGTTACCACTGCTGGTGAAGGGAGGACAGTGTACCCAAAATGGGTACCAGAGGCACTTCCAGGGGGTTGTTTTAACTGTGCTGTGAATGTTACTGCTTCAGGGCGCTCCTGTTTTGGATTTTTGAAGTCTCCTCGTTAGCAAGCTGTTGTATGACTTGCTTTTATATTTCTTACGTAAGATGCATAATATGGAGTTGCAATGAAAACCAGTTTGTCTGTAAGGATTCTGTGTCTGGGCATCTGTGGCCTTAGAGCAGGTGCTCAGTTTGTCTTGATATTGCAGATCTCCATGGTTATAGGTCCCCTCTTTGGGGGGATCCTCTATCTCTGTAGCGGGTACTCTAAAACCTGTCTAACCTCTCAGGAGTAAGACTGAAAGCCCAGAAGTTTTCTTCCAAGACTGAGCTCTGTTTTGAAAACTTCCATAATCAGTTTACCTAAGTGCCCCCAAGAGCTTTCAGAACTCTTTAGCAATGAAGTTGCAGCACACATACTTGATTAAAGTAATGATTTAAGTTGAGGTTTCCTGTGTGTTATCAAATGTGTGGTGGTTTTTTTTTTTTAATAGTAATCAATTTCTCCTGTGCTTCTCTATAAGATGCTGTGACGTGCATCTGCATGTATGCTCCTGAAGTATGGAGCTTATTGGGGTTTTATAAATAAATGTCTATTTGCATGTTAGTGTTTGAAGTGGAGAGAGATAGCTGATACAGTTTATCTTTTAAAGGCTGCAACAAGTTATTTGAGGGATCTGAGATGCTGCCTCAGTTATGCTAAGCAAAGAACAAAAACCAGATCTGGGATTACAGAGAAACTCTTGCTTTCGGTATACATTTTTCACTTGGAAATGAAAAATGGAAAGTTGAAAGATGTGTCAAAGCTATATTTGTATACAAACCATGGCAAAAGTTGTAAACTGTGTCAGTGCTGGGGAAGCATATCTGGTATAGGGTGATATCTGATGGTCCAGATGACATCTGACTGTCTGGACAATGGGATAGGAACAGTAATCTGTTCTGCTGACAAGTGTGTGGCCAGAATGATATGAGTTTGTTCTCTTACTAATAACTTCTCACTTTTTAAAGTTTGTGATAGTTGTTGTGGACAGCACAGACAGAGAAAGAATTTCTGTGACTAAAGAAGAACTGTATAAAATGTTAGCACATGAGGTGAGTAGACCCTGTGTTTTCTTATCTTTAATATTTATTGTGGGTCTTCCAGCTGTGGGTAGTGCTGGATCAGAGGTGTCTTCTTCCTGCTCTGTCTATTGTCAAGCTCCCAGTAAAGCTGTAAATTGATTTCAGATTTCTGAAGAGAACTCCCACAGAAGTAGCTTTTCAACTCCTGAGTGCTTCTGAAACAGAAGTTAGGACCCATAAATGACCTTTTGTGTTTTTTATGCTTCAACTTGTGTTAATATCTGAATGAGATAGTTTAAAAACCCCCATTCTTTCCTCCAGCAACTTATTTACTATTTTTGATAGTTTGATGGTTGCTTAATGTTTTCTGTTTTTGCAGTGGAACAGGTACAGCCGTAATAATACCTCTTTTAGCAACCAGCTATAAAACTGAAGAAACAGCCTGCCTTATGGCTGTTGTAGCCATCATTCTATGTGTATTTGGAATGACAGAATGAGAGTATAATTTGCTATCTGATAAAGAAGCTCTTTAAAATTGAGCCCCAAGTCATGTCTAAAACTGAGCTGTCTGAGTGCAATTCGTAAATCCTGGACTAATGTGTAAACCAGGGAGTACCTATTGCATGACCTGGGTGTCCTGAAGACTTCATTCTGTGCAGTACAGCAGGACTGGAGCCCTGATTTTTTGCTGAAGATGTTTATATAAGCTTGACTATTGCTGAGGCAGGTTTAGTGCAAACTGGATCAGTTTTTATGAGATGATACGGAGGACACTGAACTTCCAAATTCAAGTCTCGGAATATAAAGATGTGCATAAGTTGATGGCATTATATCCCAAAATATTACATCTATATTTAAAACATAGCCACAGTTTAGTAGACTTCAGGAAGGGCAAAGACTGTTTATGTATTTTTTCTGAGTGATTATAGTAATCTAAAGCATTTGAGAAAAAACAAGTGCTTTCCCTAGTGTCTGGAATTTCTAATTTTTGGTATTTAAATTAAAATTGTGTTTAAAGATCTAATAAAGTAGGTGTGGCTTTCTTGGTTGTGGTGGAGTGTTAAATGTGGCATGAGGAGAATGTTGCCATTGGGTCTGCTGCTATTATAATTCGAATTTGAGATGTATTCTTCAGTCTGTTGCAATTGCTAAACAAAATCTGTATCTTCTGTTTCATAATCTATATAGGAAGATGCAGAAGTTTTAACGAACTGAATTTGAAATGAGGGAAGTCTGGAACTCCAAGCAGCATGAATGCTCTTGCTTTTTGTTGGGAGCCTATTTCTGTGCTCCAGAAGCACCCATCTAACAATAAATGTGCCCATTGTTTTACAACAGGATGTTTTCAGTATAGTCTGCTAACTCTCCAGATGCTCTGACATTTGGAGAGAACAACAATGCATATAAGCTGAGATGAAAGTCAAATATTTATTTAGAATAGCTTTTCCTTGCAGTCCTTGAAAAGCTTTTGTTTTTGTTAACCAGTTCAACTGAATTTCTGTTAAGGTAAAATTGAGTTGCCCGGGTCAGTTCCTACTATTTTCTGGAACAGTAGATTGTTTGGGAATTTTACTGCTTGTAAAAATTAGTATGCCTGATAGGCATTTAAGTGAATGACTTGACTTGGCACCCTGGGAAGACCTTTTTACTTTCAGAGGGACAGATTTCAATAATATATGCCAGTACCAGTATAATTCCAAGCAGCTTGAGATAAAATAAGCTTGCCCCTGCAGTCGCTGTTCTCTGAATTGTTCATACTGCTGTTTTAAATATTTCATGTGTGTTATAGAGAAGTTTTTTGTAGTGCACATGTTCATGTCTATCCTTCGATTCTAAAGAATGTAAGTGATGATATACTGTGTATCCTCTAAATAAAATATTACTGCAGCTTGCTTTACGCTGTCAGGGGTAGTCTTAATGCTTCTTAATGGGTGGGATAAACCAGTGGGCAAGGTTCTACCAGCACTTAAAAAGTTCTGCTGTGGTAACCCACTCTTGCCCCATGTAAGAACTGCTTCACGTTCTAGTATTTTGGTACTAAAATCAATCATAACAATATGGTAACACATGAAAGCGTGGTATGTTGATAAAAGCCAGACTCAGGAGAATGCAGTGCTTGGGATGGATACACAGGCAAGGTCAGGACCTTTAACCCTGCAAGATCAGGGTTAAATGGGAGGCCTTGACTGGTGTGTGGCGTTACTGCAGTTGCACACATACAGCAATACAGGGTGCCTCTGATCACCCTAGACCAAAGCTGAACACTTGGTCTGCTGGATCAAAGGATTTTCTGAAGTTATGTGTCGGTCAGCCTGCAGTGATTTACAGTTTAGGGTTTTTTTGCTAGGGCTTAAGGTGCTCAACTTTGGTATCACATCTTTTGACTCCAAGAGCTGATTGGTAATTTATTTTTTGTTTTTTTTTCTCCATAGGACTTAAAAAAAGCAGGTTTGCTGATCTTTGCTAACAAGCAAGATGTTAAAGAGTGTATGACAGTAGCTGAAATATCTCAGTTTCTGAAATTGACTTCAATTAAGGATCACCAGTGGCACATTCAGGCATGCTGTGCTCTAACTGGAGAGGGGTAAGAGGTATTCTTGTCTATAGAGGAGAATCTTGAATTATTTTGTATTTTTACTGTGGTGCTTGGTTTTAATACACATTCCTCCCCTGTCGATAATAATCTTACATAGTAATCTTTTTTTT